AGAGAGATGTCTGAGACCCGCAGTCTGGAGCGGGCCTCGTTTCTTTCCACCCTCCCCAACTCCGCAGCTACTCCTGGGCCTCTGCCAGCAGGCCAGACCACAAGTCACCAGGCCTCCCTGGACTGTGATGCGGCGGGGATTCCCTGCACAGGAATGCCACCTGGGCTGGCGCACGGTCTCCTGGGAAGAAGTTGCCCTCTAGGATGCTGATCCGCCCTGGAGGCACAGACACTCAGTAGGCTGTTCACGTATAACCGTTCTGTGCCCCGGGCAATGCTAGCCCTCAGTGCAGGGGATCTGGTCTGCAGGTCCGACCTCTGGGTCCCAGAGTTCAAACTGTATCCCCACCAGGGAGAGGAGTTCCGGTCTCAATTCACCCACAGGGAGCCCAAGCTGGATCTATGTCTCTCAGCCTCTGAGTCGGCACCGTTCTCCTGGGAACACCGTGCCAGCAGCACCTGGGAGAGCTGGCAGGTAGGGAGCTGCAGTCTGAGTTCCCTGAGTCAGCTGTAGGGTCCCAAAAGGAAGGTCCCGTTCCCTGGAGTGCCTCTGGCTGGTGGCTGTATTGTCCCTCTGGGCAGCCGCGGGTAGGTTGGCGGAGGGGAGGAGGAGCAATATGGCACCGCGTGGCTCGGGTCTGTGCACACGGAAGTGCCCAGAGGAAGTTGGAACCTGGTGCCACGTCTGTTACAGGCTCACCGCTGGCTGGCCCTCACAGGCGCATCCGAAAGGCCCAGGGCTGGCAAGGAAACCTGCCTAGATTCTAGAGTAGGTTGCTTGCTAAGGTGTAACCTGCCCGCTTGGCTGAAGGCCGGCCTGAGGAGGCCTGGCGAAGACACTCGATCACAGATATAGACTGTCCGAACAGATGTCCTTCTTCCATTCTCCGCCTTGGCCTTTGGAGCCCCTCCAGAATTTCACAAACGCGCCATTTCAAAGGAGCTCCCCACACGGGGAGTAACCTCTCCAGCCTCCAGCCTGGGCTTCCAACTTCACCACAGCCACTGCGTGCCCTTCTCTGCATTTTGCACGCCCTGCCGGGATTTGGGGGATTTTGCTTTTTTTTAATTTTGAATTATTTGGGGCACATAATAGTTGTATGTCTTTATAGGATACATGTGATGCTTTGATACAGGCATACAGTCTGAATTAACCTTGCTGGGCTTTAACAATTGGAAACAATTGGTTGGGACAAATAAATTAGCATCTCAAAGGCAAGGAAGTTTTTTGAAAAAATGAAAAGTAAAAAGCTTGCAAAGCAGCCACATGCTGAACACTTCAGAAAAAGAACTGCTTCTTCGTAGTACTGCTTTAAAATGAGCTTGGTAAGCAGATTAAGTTCTTCCTCCTTCTAAACCATCTTCCACCAACCCAGAGAAACTCAGTGCATTCCCACTGCCTCCTCGGGACAGAAACCATCATTGTTCAGAAACCAAGATCACTAAATTCTTTTTAAAAAGTGCTCCTTACACCTAAGTGGACACACAGGTGCTACAGTAATAGGGTCTTGGGCAGGGGGGAGGGGGGAGGGGGGCAGGTATATACATACATAATGAGTGAGATGTGCACCATCTGGGGGATGGTCATGCTGGAGACATATACTCACCAGCAAATTGGTATTAACTGAACAGCACCTAAGTGGTCACATAGGTACTACAGTAATAGGGTCTTGGGCAGGGGGGAGGGGGGAGGGGGGCGGATATATCCATACATAATGAGTGAGATGTGCACCATCTGGGGGATGGTCATGATGGAGACTCAGACTTGTGGGGGAGGAGGGGAAATGGGCATTTATTGAAACCTTAAAATCTGTACCCCCATAATATGCCGAAAAAAAAAAAATAAAGGATCAAAACCAAAAAATAAAAAATAAAATAAAATCTTAAGGCTCTTCCCCAACCGGCTGACTAAATGGGCCCCCTCTTGTCCAAGGGGATATCATAAAACTAAATTGCCCACCAGGAGGATGGAGGTCAGACATGCCTCATCATGCCCCCCCTACCTACTTGGAGATATCCTTTGTAACTCATTAAGAGGCCTAAGGCTATGCAAGACAAACCTTTAGGTTCTCAATTTACACAGCAAATGTGTCTGGTAGCTTGTCTCCTTAACTTAAAACATTCCAAGCCTTTAGACAAAGCTTCAAGTCTTTAACCAATTATAAGTCAAAGAGTCTTTAAACCCACCTATAACCTATAAAGCCCCCACTGCAGAGATGGCCCACCTTTTCAGGCCAAACCAATGTAAGCCTCCCATGAATTAATTTATGACTTTACCTGGAATCCCTGAGTCCCTGAAATGTATAAAACTAAACTATAACCCAACCACTACATGTCCACTTGCTCAAGGCTTCTTGGGTGTGGCTCCAGGTCATGGTCCTCAAATTTGGCTCAGAATAAATCTCTTTAAAATTACTTTACACAGTTTGGCTTCTTTTCCTTTGAACAGTAACTTTTACCCAGATAGATTCCAAGAAATTCTTCCAAGGGAAGAACCAAGATGGTGTACTGTAAGAATGAGATGAGACTGAGAAGCTCAGAAACATTTACCATAGAATGTAAATTGCAGGCTGCATACAGCCTGGATAAGATAAAATAGTTATGATGAGTTTTTGTTACAGGTACACAGGCCATTTATTCCTCCAAACACACCAGGTTTTATGCTAGGAACAAAACCATCAGAAAATTTATACCTGAACCATGTCCCAAAATCTTCAACTCCTACTGAGGTACAGACTGAGGCATTCATTTCAGAGCTATATATGGAAGGTTATACACTATGTGTCCCTATTTCATGACCAATAAAGATATCTTCCAGGAAGTCTTTGTGTCTTCAAAGGAATCAGTCTGTCCCAAAGTACAGTGTCTTCCTTTGTGCCATGGCTGTCAGAAAGATCAGAGACATATTTGCAGCTCAACTTAGTGAGTCTGAGATCATATAATCAATATGTAACGAAATGTCAACTTGTCCCTGCTATTATTTGTTACTTTATATTTTCTAGGAAGTTCAACTTTTATCTATTACTTACTCCACCTCTTAATATATGACACTTACAAATCTAACAAAGTCCACTGTAACATAAAGTGGGGAATAAATAAACACCTTACCTTGTTCATTTTGTATTGTCCTTCGGAAGATGTAGACAACTTTGAAAATACTGACAGCTAGGTTACAAAAGGAGGAAGAGGGTCATGAAAGATATGGCCTGCCTGGTATCACCTGAATTATTCTGCCCTAAAAAGCTATACACACCCACTGGATAAAATACTCCCTGGGGGAGAATGGCAATGACCTTCTGACTCCTTGGCATGGGCAGGGGGAATGGTGAACAACCACCTAACATAACTCTAACATAATCATAGAGCTCTTGGGCACAAAATTTTTCACAGGATGAATGTAAATATTTGCTTCCCAAGGATTTCAACAGATTAAATCTCCCTTGGTGTTCACAAAAAATTTAAAATAACAGTATTGGTTAAAACAGTTGAGAATACATATTAAATGTATTCTTTATTAAAAAGAAACACTAACTAAAATTAGTGTTTTTATTTATTTTATTCTCTTTATTAAAAAGAAACACTAAATCACTAAAATTGCTGTAGCTATCAATTTTCATAGTAATGTTACTTAACCTCTGGTTAGGGATTCCACAGAAAGCCATAATAAACAGTGCTTCAAGGGGAAAAAAAAATCTGTTTTAATTTCTTTACCTAACTCTGTTGCTATTTCTCAAAACGATGTTTGATAACAAACTTGTTTTGACTTCTGTGGAAAAGTAGCCAGTACTGGCTTGGGAGTCAGGAGATAAGATTTTAGTCTTCCCTACTAACAAATCATGATCCTGAACAACTTACTATCCTTCACGGAAAAAAAAAAAAACTCTTCTTCCATCAAACAAGACAAAATCAGATATTAATAACTCCTAAGATCCTTCCCGAATGCTAGCGCAAGTCAGGGCAGACTAACAGCATATATCAGGATGCAGTGATGGCCATGGCTGGAGAGAGTTCAAAACCTACAAAGGATGACAGAGAACCACAGCACGGACCACTGTCTGTCTGTCCAGGAAGGCCAGGTCTGGGGAGCCCCAATCCCCAGGCCACGCCCCACGGCCCCCCCACGCACGTGCACGTGCGCTCCCCGCAGCACCGCCCCTCCCGCGGTGCAGACACGTGCTTTCTTCCCAGGGCCCCACAAACAGGGCTGCACCGACCGCGCCAGGCTCAGCGCCAGCCGCCCTTTCACCGCCCCGGTACCCACACGGGGTCTGCGGGCTCCTCCCCACCGCTGGTACGGCCCGCCTCCCGTGCTGCACATGGCCTGTGGGTCCTCGCCCAGCCCTCCAGGGACTCACCCGCTGCTCCCCCGTGTTGTTGCACCGGCGCTGGCCTTAGAAGACCGCCTAAACGCGGCGACCCGGGACCTCCTCCCACCCGAAGCCTGAGCAAAACAGGAAGAAAAGCGGAAGCGCAGAAGTAGCGGACAAGTGAGGCATGCGCAGAACCCGCGTGCCCCGGAAATACCTTTCCCCTGAGTCTGCGCCGCCGGCCTTTCCGAACGGCCCACTGTGGCCCTGAGGGGGACGGGGCAATGGTGGGGGGGGGCAGACGGGGGACGGGGAGGAGGACGGGGGGGCCGGTGGTGCGTGGGCGGCGCTAATCCGCACCCCGAAAACGTGGTGGCTATAGGGGAGTCCTGTGTGTGGCCAGGGTGCAGTTTAGACAGAGATGCATGGAGGAAAGGAGAGCTGCGTGTCAATTTCTCTTTTTAAATACTGGGATATAGATCCCATCCTTACAATAAAAAACTAGTTATTTGACACCATCAAGGATTCTCAGGAAAAAAAGGAGGAGGGAGAAAGCTAGTTCATCAAAATCACTAAAGCAATAAATGTAAACTGTAGATCGATCAGAAATTAGACACAATGCAGAAGAAGAAAATGAATATACTTTCCGCTGTGACATTAAAATTACTTGAATAAATGGAGATAATACACTTTCTAACAGGTAGACTGTTCTTTGACAAAATTCCAAAAACAATCTAAATAAATTTTTGCATGTATTTTTTTTCCCTTTTGTCTTTAGTGTATTGTGCACTTTTTTAAAAAAGCATTCTTAACTTCATCTGGAATAAATAAAAACCTAAATTAATAGCCAGCATATGTTTTAAAATCTTGCTCTGTTTTTCAAATTAGTTTGGCACCTGTTTCTTGGAACTAAGAGTAATAATTAAGAGTGGTTTTTTTAATAAATAAAAAATGTAGCATTTCAAAACAATGAGGGACAGAATGGAGTATTCCCAATAGCATGTTCTAATCTGAAATATAGAGATGGTTATCTATGTAGATAACACAGATAAAACTTCACATGGATTCAAGGTTCAAAACGTTTAAACCACTAAAGCTAGTATAAATTTAAAAAATTGAGATGTGATGCCAAAGACAAACCATAAATTTAATATCTCATAAATTTTATAATAGAAAAAATAATCAGTAAACTTACTTCATTCCAGTAAATTTTTTAAAACTTGGAACTTGAAAGAAATGCAAATATTTAAGTAAAAACATGTAAAATACCATTTATTGATATGTAAATTTATGTACAGAAAAAATCACTTTAGTGCACAGCTTTATGAACTTTGACAAATGCATAGATTTGTGTAACCACCACCACCACAGTCAAAATGCAGAACTGTTTCATCACTGCAAAAAAAGAAAAAAATTCATGCTACCCTTTTAAAGTCAAATTCTCTCACCACTCTTAACCTCTTGCAATCACTATCTATTCTTCTTGCTTATAGGTTTACCTTTTGTAGAATGTCATAAATGGAATCATACAGTATATAGTCTTTGAATCTGATATCTTTTATTTAACACAATGTAATTGAAATTCTTCCCTTTTTTTTTTTGAGACAGAGTCTCACTCTGTTGCCTGGGCTAGACTGCCGTGGCCTCAGCCTAGCTCACAGCAACCTCAAACTCCTGGGCTCAAGCAATCCTCCTGCCTCAGCCTCCCAAGTAGCTGGGACTATAGGCATGCGCCACCATGCTCAGCTAATTTTTTTTTTTATATATTTTTTAGTTGGCCAATTAATTTCTTTCTACTTTTAGTAGGGATGGGTCTCGCTCTTGCTCAGGCTGGTTTTGAACTCCTGACCTTGAGCAATCTGCCCACCTCAGCCTCCCAGAGTGCTAGGATTACAGGTGTGAGCCACCACGCCCAGCCTTCTATGTTGTTTTGTGTATCAATACCCCTGTTTGTTTTTATTGGTGAGTCCTATTCCATGGTATGGACTTACCACAGATTGCTTATCCATTCCCCAGTCCAGGGACATACACATTGTTTACAGATGTGGGAATTATAAATAAATAAAATATTTTTAAATTTAAGATTTGAAAAGACTATAAAGAAGGATAATATATATCTATGGTATGGGCTTGTGAAAATGTGTATTCAGACTGTATTATTCAAGGTTCTCCAGAGAAACAGAACCAATAGGAGGGAAGGAGGAAGGGAGGGGAAGAGAGAGAAAGAGAGAGAGAGGCTGATTTATTATGAGGAATTGGTTCACATGAGTATGGAGGCTGAAAAGTCCCACAATCTACCATCTGTAAGCTGGAGATGGAGGGAAGCCAGTGGTATAATTCTGAGTCCAAAGGCCTGAGAACCAGGGGAGCCAATGGTGTAAATTCCAGTCTGAGGGCAGGAGAAGATGAGATGAGATGCCCCAGCTCAACAGTGAGGCAGAAGATGTGGGTGAATAACTCCTTCTTCTGCCCTGTGTTCTATCCAGGCCTTCAATGGATTGGATGACACCCATCCATGTTGTGGAGGGCAGTCTACTTTATGAGTCCATTTATTTAAATGCTAACCTTATCTGGAAACAACCTCACAGACATACCCAGAATTGATAACCTGGGCACCTCTGGCCCAGTCAAGTTTGCACATAAAATTAGCCATCACACCTGTTCATTTTTACTGTGACTTTAATTCATAATATGAGTAGACATTTGTCCTCTTTGGAGGCTCATTTTATTCCCTCTCATTTATTTTTTTTTTACACTTTTTCCTTTTATTTTTAGTTGACACATGATAATTATACATATTTATGGGATACATACAGATATTTTTATATGTATATAAAATGTGTAATCATCAAATCAGGGTAATTAGTATACCCCTCACCTCAAACATTTATCATGCAGAATGTCTGACCAAATATCTGGGCACTCTGAGCAAGCTAACACATAAAATTAACATCACAAATATTAACTCACATTGTTGTACATAGGAGAAATCTGAGCCCAAAAAGGCAAAGTGAGATCACAGAGCAGTCATTGGCAAACCAGGACTGGTACCCCAGGCCCTAATTGAGGCCCTATTCATTGCTTCACAGGGACAACTTCTGGGATATAAAGGCTGATCCAAGCAGCTATGAAGAGACCTGGAATTTAAATCTCATGAACCCTGGCTACACCTCAACCTGTGACTCCAATTGGGATCCCTGATTCATGGACCATCTTTTCTGTCACATGGAATGTGTTCTAGGCCCACTCAGGTGCCAGCCATGTCTGTATCAGTGTCCGGAGCTAAAGCAACCTGAGTATGTACTTGGAAGCTTGGAAGCTCTCCACTGCTTGGGCTCCCTGTAGGAGGAAGAGGGATGACTTAGCTATGGAGTTGCAGAATGTGCTTGTGATTATAACTCTTCGTCCGGGGTGGGGGATAACTATGACAGGTGGGAAACTAACAGCAAAGTTATTAATGACAGGTCCAGGTCCAGGGGATAGCAGCCATTGCCTCCCAACTCCCTTAAATCAGGGAACTGCAGGCCTCATATCCCTGGCAAGGCCATCTACACTTCCAGCAGGACTAGCCCCTCTGACCAGGATTCCGGTCACACCTTACTGACCTATTCCCCCACCCCCAGTTGAAAGAGACACACTGGATGCTGCCATCTACCTCATTCCCATGATCACAGCAGTGGAGCCTCAGAGGACTTGCAGGCTTAGAAGATGGACTAGAGGGTATGAGGGACTGTGGTGGCCCTAGAAATGCCACAAATACCAGCTCCTGAAAGTTCCAGTGGCAGGAGCAACAGGGTCAAGGTGTATGGCAGTACAGTCAAGCAAAATCCAATGATCAAGCTACATCCCTTTACTTCTATTGTTTTGTGACAAATATGAATATCAATGAGACTTCTGCTCTTAGCCAAGATGGAATAATAAAAACCAAATTTATCCTCCCATCTGGAAGAACTAAAACAGCAGACAAAATACAGGAAATGATGATTCAACAGACCATGGACATCAGGAAGTTGAAGGACAGTGTTCCCTGAGAGATGAGAATCAAGTGAGGTGAGCCCACAGTTGCTCCAGCTCACTACCTGAGACTTTCTAGGCCATGGAATAGGGAGGGGAGCCCCAGGTAGAACCTGGCACTGCCCCTGAGTAAAGGAAGGGGACCTGGGATCAGGAGAGACCAAGTACTGGAGAGGAGGAAGCTGGACAAGGAGGAAGCTCCAGAGATGATAAGCACATATGTGAAGAAACTACCCAAGGTCTGGGAAAGAACTAGCCAAAAGGATTCAAGGGAACAGTGCTAGGTGTTCAAAACCCCTGCTTTTTCTAACATACTCCTCTTTCTTCTCCACTATTCTCTCCTTTCCAGTTCTCAGCTCACTCAGCACTTCCAAGCTTCCCAAGAAGTTCTGGGATGGGTATGGGACTGAAATTTGCCAAATGTAAGTTATCTTTCTGTGATATCTTGCTCTCTCTCCAAAATGCTTGAGACGTATTTCTCAGTCCAGTGCCCCTTCCCTGAGCTGGGAGAGAAGGCTCTGCTGTCCTGTACTGAGGGACCCCCCAGGCAAGAAGGCAGGTCCCCTGGGACCTCTCTCCGGAAGCCTGCCACACAGTTGTGGGCACTGATGACACCCTAAGGTACATGGAGCACAGACTCCAGATGGAGCTCCAAGAGAAAATCTATCTTGTCACTTTCCAAATCAAAGAATGAGGTTTGTGGATAGGTTAGAATTCAAATCTCCTTTGATAAGTGGCTCTTTTTTGTGGGGACAGGGACAAAGCATGAGAATCTGATGTATGCTGTGAACTGTCTCTTCAGGAATATGAAACTTCTTAACTATTTGAAAGGATGGCATTACTAATAAACTAACAGAAGAATAAACTATCTAATAGAAAAAAGAGACAAAGATCACAGCACATAACTGCCCCTTTGTTTGATTAACCACCTGCGCCTTAACTTGTGGTCTTTAAGAGTTTGTTTTTACCGCACTTGAACTGAACAGATAGAAGGAGTATAACCCTTCCCCTGTTCCCACCAGACTACATTCCAAGGAGACTGATAAAGCCAGCCTGTCAGAGGGAAAATAAACACACAAAAAAATTAGCTTTCTCCTATTATTAGTTTGCAATAATAATCACTCTATCCTTTATCCCAATAAAAATCCCATTATCCTCAACACTGGCACTTATTTCTTTTGTGCCCTTTCTCCTTGGAAAGTAAAATATTTTTTTTTCTCTAAACCTTTCCTAATCTTTGTGTCAACAATTCTTTCTCATCCCATATTGTGAATTTCTACCCTAACACTATTGACATATTTTGCTTAGACATTCAGTGAAATTCATGAACCTCATGCATCTCATTAGTGGGCACCAGCTTAGCAACTGTCCTGGAGACAAGATGTCAGTTTCCTGGGTACCTGCTTGTGGAATCTGTGACTGTTCTTCAAGGGAGGTACAGGGCCTGGAGCATACGCACTACAGAGCAGCCTGAGCTTGATAGAGTCGAGTCACCCAGCCACAGCCTGAGCTTGATAGAGTAGAGTCACCAGCCACATTCACCTCCAACTGAATTAGCTACATATAGCCAGCTGCCTGCCATTATGGTCTAGAAGCCAGAGAGAGGATTAATGGTAGTGATTTAGTCACATTGTTATGCAGGTACTCAGGGAAGTCTGAAGTGGTCTAGTTTTTACAAGTTAGTTGGTCAGAGCCAGGCAGGCATTTGGTTAGAATATTAGTCATTCAGTCAGCCAGCACATAAGGCAAGCAGGTGGGATTAGGCAAATACCAAATCATCAAGCAAAAGTTTTCCACACACCATTGTAGTAGCCCTCTGCAAACAGATCCCTCTCCCCCTGCCATCAGCTGAGTTGTGTCCCCTCAAAATTCATATGTTGAAGTCCTCTGTCAGAACATGATAGGGCCTTTAAAGATATAATTAAGTTAAAATAAGATCCTAATCCAATATGACTGATGTTTTCATAAGATTAGGACATACAGAGAGAAAACCATGTGACAGACACAGGGAGAAGACACCATCTACAAACTGAGAAGCCTCTGGAGAAACCGGCCCTGCTCCTTGATCTTAGACCTTCAGCCTCCATACTGTACACAATAAATTTCTCTTTGTTTAGCCACCAAGTCTGTGAGGTACTTTGTTATGGCAGTTCTAGTAAACTAATACATCTTCCCACAACATACTGAAGAAGGTGTTTTTAGAGTGGACAGAAAGTCTGACTCCTCCCAGGAGTCCAAATGAGACTTCTGTTTGCTGAATAAAATATGGAGACTTGATAAGAAGGAAGAAGGAGACCCCATCAGGGAAAGAAGGGATTTATTACCACAGCCCAGAGAGCTGTCTTCACTAGACAATGTGGTAAGAGAAGTGAATGGTGGGAGAGAGGATTGTACCCTGAGCCTGGAGCCACTGGGCTCTGTCTCCTGGTCTCCTCACTGGAATGGCTCCAGCAAGCTGATATTCTGGTTGTACCGTGGTGGGAACCCGAAACTAAATTAAATGAAAATTGAATGAGAATTTTAAAAATTCCACTGCTGCAAGAAGGGGGTGGCTGTCAAATAAATTCTAACTAAGAATTCTAATATACTGTGTAATATATTATAAAATAATTAAGGTCACAGTAATTAAAATATCATGTTTACCACAGTATAAACAAATAATTGAGTGAAACAAAACACAGATGATGGTTTTAACGAACCCACAAGTGGGGCAAAATTATTCTCAATTTGACTGTTTCCATATTGTTTCATTCCCATGACATTTCAAGTGAGATGACTTTACTCAAAAAGTTTTCCCATTTCCATTATATTCTCAGAATTTCTCTTCTGTGTACAGTTGACTATGTGAAATTATTATGATCCTTTTTTTAAAAGGCTTTTACACTTTTATTATATTCAAAAGTTTGCTCTAAAGTTTGACTATTTAGGTACTGAATAATGTCATTATTATGGCCAGAGACTTCTCATTTTGATTATTTTCATTAGAATTATCTTGAGTATGACTTTTTCTTGTTTAATGTAAAGTAATTTCTCATATACATTTAACACATCAGGCTTCTTTCTTGAAGACTTTCTATTACTACCAATTGATACTGAAATATTTTTCAAACTCATTCCATGAAAGTATGTTTATAGGGCATTTCTCTTGAAGAAACAAGGTCTTTGTCCATATTAAATGATTTTCCTAAAGCATCAACTTTCTCTGAAGTCAGTATTTTGTTGTTGATTAAAATTGCTGCAAATGTTTATCTTAGTTTTCCTGCATTCTTTTTTCTCAGGTAATGCAGTCTTCTAGAAGTTAAAAAAAAATGAACATACCATAAGAATTTTAACACTTTTCTAATGGAATTGGACTAAGATAAAAGAGTCCTATTACATATTTGGCTTTTTAGTTTCAGTATTCTCCCAAGATCAGAATTCCTTTTCTTCCTCTCTAGTTTTTTTGGGAAAAAAAATGTGGCAAAGGGGGAAAAAACTGTTAATGAGCAGACATGTAATTATTCATCATTTTACAAATATAACTTTTGACATGGATGGACATGAAGATATAAACTCAAGGAACAGTACATGGAATATGGAGTATGGAGGATTTTATAGGAGTGGCATATATTCCAGTAGGAAATGGGATAGTTGCAATTGAGCTAATAAACAGTAATTAAAATGGCAAAGAAAACCAGTAGACAAAGGTGTTCAAGGGGAAAGCATGAGAAATTGAGGAGACAGACTATAATGTAGGTCTAATACCCTCCAGGCTATATTGTTTTAGTAATATCTTTACTAGTTTTCATGCTTCCAGTTGAATTTCCCTTATTTCTATTCTATACATTAATGACAAAGTGAATTTCCAAATTCACCAATTGCCTTATGTTTAAAGGGAAGTCATTAGCTTGCACTCTCATTCTCCTTCTAGCTTTGATTCACAGGAAGGCCAACATCCAGAAGAAAGTACAAAACAACAGAATAAGAGATCCTGAGGCACTCAATCTGATTTATTGCTCTGTTTTGGCTATGATGCCTTAATGTGACTCTCATAGCTGTTCAACAGGTGAATCTGCTGTGATGATCACATTTATTAATACATTCACTCATTTTTCCTTAAAACAATCTTGCCCATGCTACAATACTAATATTTAATTTTGCTTTACATTTCATGTTTCCACAATTGCAGGTTTCTATTCACTATTAGAATTTAAAGATTATATCTTCAACCCAGAAATCCCAGAAAATGAATAACACTTGTCTTTATATACCACTAAAAAAATCTTGTCCACGTTTGTTACCCAGTATAACAAAATCTATCCTAAGCTAAAAAAAAAAAAAAAACTATGACTGACCTGAGACAAATACCACACAAAAAACACCAAACAAAACTTTACCCTAACTGAATGCACATCAGATTTTAAAGCTACCAATCAACAACTCCACAAGCAGTATATTCTGTCCCAGTATGGACAACACTTTCCCCTATTCAACTGTTCTTTCTTAACAACATGCATTCCAGCCTTGGCTCAGTTTAGAATCTAGAAAAATGGCATGATGATGCTATTATTCCAAACCTCCAAGAGTATCTTTTCTAATCTTTCTATGTTCAAAACTTTCAAAAGTTATATTTATTCTAAATATAAATGTAATTCCTACCTACATTAACTGTTTTAACACAACCTTAGATAGCATGGCTTTGTAGCATACTGAACTTCATCTACTGTAACACACATAATTTTAATATTCTAAAATCAGGATGCACCTTATTTTTTTTTTTACCATCACAAAGGTGCTTTTATTGGTATAGGATCAGGGGTCCTCAAACTTTTTAAATAGAGGGCTAGTTCACTGTCCCTCAGACCGTTGGAAAGTGCGCACTGTGAGCCTGGATGAGTCGGCTGCTAAGCAGGACAGGCAGCGGCGGCAAAAACACCCAGAGGGCCAGATAAATGTTGTCGGCAGGCCACATGTGGCCCGTGGGCCGTAGTTTGAGGACCCCTGGATAGACTGACAAAATTAGATAGATAGCTGGGTAAGAGTACATGTATTTTTAATTTTAATAGATCTGTCAGATTACAGTACTTTGCAACAGCAACATCTTGTTCCCTTATTTCTCACTGGTAATGTATTTTATTACTCTTAATTTTCACAATCCAACAGGAAACATATGGTATTTCACTGTTTTAATTTACATTAGCCAGACCAATGGCACTATTGAAGGAGCTCAGGAAATTTCACCCCAGAATATGATTCCTTGTTAAAGAATGTGAGTAAAGTTGCATGAAGCATTTTAAATTCAGCATTTAATTAAGAAATATTCCATGTTGTCATGTTCTCTAAAATCTAAGAAACCATAAGTTATAACTTGACCATTACTTCATGAACCAATAAAAAAAATTCTGCCTATTACACTGCATCTTGCCATCGATTATAAGTTGCATCTTTCGAAGGCAAGCACTGTTTGGACCACTTTTCATTTATTAATTTAGTGTCTCATTAGGCAAAAAACACAATGAAAACTAGTGTAACAGGAGAGAATACTACATGCCTAAGTGGACCTGGGGGTACAAATAGTGTTCTTCGTGAGCATGGGCAACAGAAAAATAAAACTGGAGCAGCCAAATCAGGCCACACTATGGCAGCCAGTGAAAGGCAAGAAACCTAAATGTCATGAAATAAATAATAGGGGTAACAAAGATTTATCTTATCAGGCTACTGACAAAACAGATGTTCTAAGCAAAACCAAAGCACCACCATCACCACCACCACTGAGAACAACAACAACAACAAAAGCCCTTACCAATTCCAATTAGGAATCGGAAGGAAAAAAAAGTGTGAGAGACTACAGTTATTACTTATGTCAGTGGAAAGTGAGAATATGAGAAATATTAGAAATTTATTAGAAATTTATAATCAAGATTGCAAAAATTAAATTAAAAAATTGGTTTGCCTTACATGATTAACAATTTGGTTATCAATTCCTGGTTTTATCAGACTGTCACTAGGGAATGTCCTATCTCTACTTTGTGGGTTCACTTTTAGTATGATGTACTTCACTACTTGCAAATAACCTTAGGCAAATAAAGATTTTTTCGTTGTTTTTAGGTTTCTAAAATTAGGAAGGCTATAATTTTGTTATTGCAGCCAATCATAAAAGTATGAACTTGTGATTCCATTCATTGTCTATTTAAGATTATTATTATTTAAGTAGTATTAATAAATACTCTACTACATACAATGGTGAAATCAGTGTTTCCTCTCTTCTTCCCTTACAAACCAAATTTCAGTATATTTTACTACCTTTATTAGTTTTTATCTTTGTGCTGTTGAAGCTTTATGCTTGTCCACATAAATGATTATACTTAAACCCCTAGCTTTTAACAATCAGAATGTAAGTTTACCTTACTTCTTGTCCATTACCCTTTCTTCTTCCAATTTTATTATATATGTATTTTTCTGTACTTCCAAATTAAGTACCACTAAGAAGTTCTTAAAAAACATTTTAAATGTCCAATCCCTAAACTTCCCATATACAATAGAACTTCCCCTGGCTTCCTTTTGCCTGGTACTCACTAACTCACCTAGATAGTTCTGGTGTGGGAATTCTTCCTCCAATATCCATGGTTCCACTCCTTGTTCCAACTTGAAGATCACCTCTGGCTTGATAATGAAATAACCTGTTAAAGAAAAGATGGCATAAGACTTGGGCCAGGTTGCACAGGCTACAGCAAGAAAAAAGGAAAAAGGTGGAAGCTCTGGATCTACACTGACATGAGGTTCATTTAAACCTTTCATGAAATATGAAGATACAAACACTCTTCCTGATGCTCAAAAGAGGTTAACAATCTCAGGCTCCTTGCTATGGTATGAACATTAGTCATCTCCAAAACTCATGTTAAAATTTAGTACTCAATGTGTCTGTATCAAGAGATGAGGCTTTTCTTTTTTATTTCGGCATATTATGGAGGTACAAATTTTAAGGTTTCAAAAAATGCCCTTTACCCGCTCCCCCCTCCCCCGACACACATGTCTGAGTTTCCAGCGTGACCATCCCGCAGATGGTGCACATGGCACTCA